TAAGGGGGATAAAGACAGCTATGGAATTATAAATATTTTGTTAACTTTCCTTAATTTTGTAATTTTTATTTTTCAAATAAATATTTGAAAATTCCTTGACAAGTTTCTGGATTTTCATTAGAGGCTTTAGAATTTCATTAGTCATTAATGGACTTCAAATATTGGATTCTCTACTCATCAGAGGGATAATATTGTACCAAGTAATTAACTTTTCTATATTGCATGTTTTTCTTGATAAAGATGGAGAAAATAACATCTAGGTTTTTTTTTCTTTTTGCTTCAGCTTTAGAAATAGAGGAAATTCAACATTAAGATTAAATAAAACCTGATGAAAAAATATAAGAACCTTTCCATTTTTCTCATTTAAATCATTCATTTCATTCTGATCAGCAAGTATTTGGGGGACACTTATAATGTACCAGGTGATGCATAAGATTCAGTTAAATTAAATTAACTAGTCATTTAACTGCAGTGAAGAAAATGCTATGAAACAAAGATACAGATAAAGTCCTAAAAAGCAAATCTAGAGGGTGAGAGAAGACATTCCAAAGGAATTAGGAGCCGTTCCCATTTTAGAAAATATTTCCTTTTCCTTTGTGAAAATATATTGGTTTTTGTAAGAATCTTACTTGCTTGAAAAATGTTTATGCAAATTAAAATACACCAATATACTAATCAAACATCAACCAGAGGGCTGCTGTATACATAGTATTTGTTTTAAGGGACTAAGAAGCAGCCTAGTTACTATTTAATAAATCTTAGCTCCAGAGAAACAATCAATATGTCTGAGAAGATTTTTAAAAGATAAAATTGAGATCTAAAGACAGAGAAGCATCGAACAGACCGTCAACTTCAGAGGGTGGGCAGGGGAGGGAGTGGGGAGTAAGAGATCAACCAAAGGACTTGTATGCATGTATATAAGCATAACCAATGGACACAGACACTAGGGGGGCCGAGGGCATGTGCTGAGAGGGGGAGGGGGGGCCAGGGAGAGGTCAATGGGGGGAAAAGGAGACATATGTAATACTATATGTAATACTTTAAACAATAAAGAATTTTTTTAAAAAGATAAAATTGGGGGAAATTTTAGGCAAAAAACATCCTATACTAAGACTAGGTTGGACTTGCTGGCTTCATAACCCAGCAAAAACCAGTGAAGTTGTAGAGAGAAAGAAGAGTCCCAATCCCAACTCTGCTGCTCATTGGAAGTCAGGTGGCTCATTTGAACAGTGAGTTGTTATAATTTCTCCAAACAAAGTAGCAGGACTAAATTTTCGTACATTCTTTCTAGCTAAATGTCATGGTGTTATGAATCAGATAGAACATTAGTCTCCCAGACTGGGAAGGACAGTAAAATGAGTACAGATACAGGATATTAGAACAATGATTAAGAAAAAAATACACAAAAAAACAGTTTATCAAATAGCCACATCTCCTGTTTCCTAGACAGTGAGGCATTCTTCCCTGACGACCAGGCGCCAGGAGCCCTGGGGAGGTGGAGGGTGCAATTGCCTCAGATCTCCTTCCCCAGGGCCATCCTGCTACTCCCTGCAAAGACTGGATCAAGGTTTGATGTTTGGCATCTGCCAGCACATTGACCTTTCCTCCTGACATGTATTAGCAATGGATCCAGCCTCCTTTCCTGGAGGGACTTGAGTAGCATCAAGTGTCTGCATGGGCTTCCAGTTTGTGTTTTAGCCACAATCTTCAAAAACCAATTGCTCACCAATCTGACATAGTGGCCAAGGCTAGAATGACCTTCCTCCAAGTTTCCATGATTATTTGATGGAATCTCACAATTTTAATTAAAAAACTTAAAACTTTAGAAATGAGCAGCCCATCTATCTAAAACTACTAAATTTTAAAATGAAATATCTCCAGATATTCTTAGAAGTATGATTTGGGTTGAAGAATAAGAGTTAGAGACCCAGCTGGACACAAACATCCGCCTCCACAGGTTAATAGAAGAGAGTTAAAAATATGTTAAGAACCAATGAGGTGGCAAAAGACCCATGGAAAAGCCTCAACAGGAAGCTGTTGGCACCTCTAGGGAAGTGGATAGATATCAGGCTGAGTGTGAGTTAGGATGTAAGGCAGACAGAGCTGTCATTCAAAGAGGCCAAAGAGCACCCTAAGGCATTTCATCTATAATAGCAACTAGAGGCCCGGTGCATGAATTTGTGCACCAGTGGGGTCCCACAACCGGGCCTGTGGGATTGGGCTGAAACTGACTCTCCGACATCCCTCAAGGGGTCCCGGATTGAGAGAGAGCACAGGCCAGGCCGAGGGACCCCACCAGTACATGATCAGGGCTGGGGAGGGATGCGGGAGGTTGGCCAGTTGAGGAGGAACTGTGGGAGGGCTCCAGGGCGTGTCCAGCCCGTCTCATTCAGTCCCAATTGATTGGACCCCAGCAGCAAGCTGACCTACCAGTCAACTGTCGGCTCCCTGGTGGTCAGTGTAGGTCATAGCGAGCGGTTGAGCAGCCTTAGTATATCATTAGCATATTATGCTTTGTGTGGTTGAATGGCTGATCGGCCGACTGGACACTTAGCATATTAGGCTTTTATTATATAGGCTAAAGATCCTCTATTATCTCTTTGTACTGAGGAAGAAATGGTGAATCTGGGTTTCTGTCTGACTCCTGAGTTTGAAAATCCCTTTCACTACATTTCCCTATATTCAGTAAGTTTGGGGTTAGAGTGAAAATTCTATTTCTCTGTCCTTGGTCTTGTTGATGAGAAAGGGAGAGGGAAGATGTCAATATTTTTATGTGCTTTTGTTGTCCTTACCTGACCTGTTAGCATCAACAATGATAACAATAGGTATAGTAAACCACTAGTTCTTAACAAAAAATAAGTTAAATGAAGATCAGATGATTGCGCTTTCAATCCTAATTTGTAATTAACCCCAGTGTGAGCTTGCAAACATTACTTAATGTCTCTGGTGTATTTATCTGTACAAGAAGAATCTTGGAGCTTTGTTCTGGCAGAATGAACAAATGATAGTTCTTATAAACAGCCCTTTACTAAGAAGCCTCAAGCTAGAAAGTAAGTTTTGTTAAAGATGTGTGAAAAATATTGAAAGATATGTCAAAGTTGGGGAAAAGCAGATTTAAACAGTAAATTCACATTTATATTTTTGTATTTACTGAGTTTCATAGTAAAGTATTTATAATAAATTCAACTACGTATTTTTCTTATGCTTATTTTTCTGGAAGCATCCATAATGGGTCTGGTTAAAGGATCTCTGGTTTGCATCCTTTTCTTTGAATAAAAAGAGGAGAAACACTTAAAAAAATATCTGCAGATTAACTCTTTGAACCTGCAGATGGTGCTATGATTCCATTTTAAAATTTAATTTTGCTTTCCAGGGTATATTCATAGGAAAAAATACAGTTCTTTGTTTTCTTTTCATCTTGAGGTAAAAAATGAATTATTTCTCTTTATTTTTGTGTTTTATTATTATAATGGGAGAAACTGTTTTTACCATTAGAAAAATCTTCTATAGTTACTTTCTGTTAATGTTAAATACTTCCTTTGATGAGATAACAATCACTTTTCTATCCTTTTTCTTTCAGAATTTTCTACTTATCACTCAGCATCAGTTTTTCTGTAACTCACAACCAACTTACTTTGCTGTTGATGTTCTTAAATAACATTGCTTCACTGAGAACTGGGTGACAAAGATCTAAGGATAAAAAATTCCATATGAGAATCATTTCAACCTCTTGTTGGTAATAATCAGGTAAAAATGATTTCCTGGTATTAAGCCACAGGAACTCTGGTTTAAGTCAGAGCTGTCAACTGGGAAACAAATTTCCAGCCATTTTGAAATTTAATTCATTTAATTTTTCTTGTAACTGGATTAGAAAGTATGATTAGCATAGCAGGATATTCTTTTACTGAATCAGTCTGACTTTGAACAAAGCAAACGGATACTAAAATCTTAAAGTATAAGAAAGAACATGGCTTTAGAGTCATTCTCCCATGAGGAACTTAAGAACAAAAATGTAAAAGAATACAGGCACTGGTAGTTTTAAAAAATACAAGGAAGGATGTTCATGTGGCTGTATTTATTTATTTTTTTAATCTTGAACTGTGGTTAAATGTAAAACTAAACTACTGTGAATTAAAAACCCACAGATAGAAATTAAGTGTGTATCAAAGCACAGTACTCTCTCCATGCTTTCCAACTAGTTCTTTGAAACCACCTTCAAGTGATTGAGTTGGAGATGTTCAAAAGTTGGTGTGGATGTGGGTGTGTGTTGGAGAATGGGAGAGAAACACGGTAATTCTGCACAGTGCAAATATTTATAAAAATGATGAGTAAAAATTTTGAAAAAGAAGAAATATTGAATTCCTTGAGGTAGACAGTCTGATAATTTAGTTTTTAAATAATTTGAGATTATGTGTGAGAGAGTGCATTGGGAAGGATGACATTCTATAGAAATGTCACACAGCAGTGGTACTACCACCTTCTACTACAGAGTGTGTATTACCCCAGCCTGGAGCCTTTATGAAACTTTTATAGTGAGATTAACATGAAGTTTCAACATAAAGAAATTATTACAATGGAAGATAAAAAATTAGTTTTAGATGCTTTAACAATGAGGAAGGATACTAAGAAAGAATATATGAATCAGGATCTACACGAATAGCATAAAAATAAAATAAAGGCTTTAGAAGAATTGATGCTTTGTAATAAAATAAAATTATACATTTGTAAGCAAAATGACCATAAGTGTTTGTTGCTTTTAAAATCTATTCCTGGACATAAAATTCTTATTTTCTGAAAGAACCTCAATCTCCCTGACTATAACGCAAATTCATTTGCTTACATCATTACTGCTAATTAAAGATTACTCTATTTCACATTCAACTTGATAGCTATTTTTGTTTAAAGAAAAGTAAATTTCCTCTCTTTCACGTCATGAAGATGCTCACTATATATTTATATAAATCAGAAATTAGATAAGAATTCCAAGCCCTATTCATCCTGTGGGAGAGCTGCTGTGACGTCTTTCAGAGTTTTGTGATTGCTCAGCCCTGAGTACAAGCCCTATAAAATGATGGGCTTTGAAATGCTGGTCAGGGTAGAGTGAAAGCAGCTGTTGGCAATAACCCTTAGCCAGTACAAGTTCAGGTTCAACTCTGACTGGTACAGCCTTTCTTGGACTCGGGACTGCAGCACCTGAGACAGCTCCAACAGTCTGTGGAACAGAACACTCCCAGGCAAGGTAAGTGACAACTATAGCTTTCTTTTACTCCCTCTCTGCTGCTAGAACTTTTATCAGGGTAGATTGAATTTTTTTCTCTCTGGAAAATTTTTTTTACAGTTTTCTTTCTTTATAGCAACAAAAAGAGAAGTTTCTCAGTCACCTGGTAAGGATAGAAATGCCTCAATTTCTCACGTATGCATGAATTTTCTGAATTCTTTTGTTTAATGGATGGTTTTCCTGCTTGCCATTTTATTCAATACTATTTTTTTAAATAATGCATACAAGTAGGGGTTTCTTTTTGCTTGTATATAAATTTTTGACTGAAGGGTTCAGTGGGTACATTTGTTTTGGAAGTTTTAGACTTGTTTTTAAGTTCTGTTCTTTTTCTGTCATATGTTGGTTATGTGAACCTAGGAAGCATTTATTTTCCTCTTTATTTTAAATAAAAATCCTGTGGTTTTTATAGAGAGCAAGAGAATAGGCCATGAAGTCTTTAGTTTCTATCTAGAAACCATTTAGAAATAAAATGTGTAAGTTGATTAAATGTTAAAACCACACAGTGTTTTTAATATATTTTTTTTCTGTGGCAAAAATTAGGTCAATGGTGATATGTGCTTTAAATTTTTTTTGAGGGGGGGGGGAATCAATTTTCACCAGTAATTGTGTTAAATTGTTCAAGTTCAGGCTTAAGGAAGTACGTGACCAGTAACATCTACAATTAAAAGAAGAAAATATGTATATACAAAATCATTTTATACTGTTATATATACATATTTATATGTACATGTTCATTATTAAATGTATAATAACCTAGTTTTATATTAATCAGATGCAGAATCATAAAGTAGGAAAAAATAATCATCTTTTTGCAGTTAGAGAGGATACTAAAATCGGATGCTACCATTTTGTAATAGAAGATGGTCCCCAGGGCTATTTCCAGCAGGATAAGAGTGAGCCAGTCAATGTATACGTGGGCCAAGTATGAAAGATAGGCAGTAGCTCAAAAGGATCCTGATTTTTATTCAAGTGCCCGTCACCAAGAGAAATCCTCTTCATTTAAAAAGTAATAACTATCACAGTTTATTGGTTACTATAAGATGAAAAAGACTTTTTCCGAACTCTGTGCAAGAGTCTTCAGCATTTGCTGGGCACTCAGAATCACCGAGCAGGTGAGGTCTGTGGATGGGAAGTCTGATGTGACTCCCCCTTTCGAGGTGCAGAGATGGAATCCAGAAGGGCGCCCCGGCTCCTCCTGCTCATGCTCCTGTTCAGCGTGCTCTTCTCACAAACATTGGCGTGGCCTCTTTTCGGAGCACCTTCTGCTCTGAGGTAAGTTCTCTTTCAGTGCAGACAGTTGAACATTCCTTCATCTAAATGGGAACTTTCTCTCTGGGGTTTTGGACAACTCAAACTTTCAAAAATTACATATTATTCATTTAAAGATTAAATACCTGGCTGATGTGTTAAGCAAGCTTTTTCAACATCGGGTCCCCATGGTTAGTCTGAGCCCCAGCAGCACTCTCAGGGCATGAGAGAGAGCGTTAGGGGCTAGTCTTATGGATAGGATAGTTCACATTTCCAAACGAGGTGGAAGGAGAATTTGACTTTCCATTCATTCAAAAGCAGCTTTAGATAAGGAATGAGCTTTCATACAGCATCTCAGTTCAGATCAGTATCTGATGGGAAAATAGAACTTTCGTGGCATGCCTCATTTTAGTTCATTTTTAAGATCAGTCAGTAAATAATCATAAGTTTAGTAGTTGATTATAAAAACATATATAGAAGCATGTTGGAGAGATCTATCTATGCAGAATTAATTTGCTATTATTAAGAATTGTGGAATAATTGATCTACTGAGATCTTCTTGCCCAATGAGTAAATTTTAACATATGTGGTTTTGATGTTTAAAAATCCTTAGTTTTTACTGTTCTCCTTGTGGTATTTCATATTTTAAGTTCATAGATTATAACACAGCTCATTTAAAGCTTTATCTGAAGTAAAATAAATTCATGTTTAAAGAAATAAATGGTAAATTAACACTACATTAGCTTAAACTTTCCTCTGGTCCTATACCTACGGGCACTATATACAGGCACTAACTCTTGTTCTTCACAAGGTCTGCTTAAAGCCAGATCTCTGCTGCTTTGACAACTAAATGGAATGATTCTGACTGAGTGGTTATATCACTACAGATGAACAATCGCAAGAATGCTGAAGTTGGCATTGATTACTAGGCTTCATTCTCAAAGAGGACTGCTTGTTCCTGACTACCAGCTACCACATCACCAAAAGATACACAAGTGCCCAGGAGCCAACAAATTCCTTAGAGTCTTACCCTAACAGAGAAAACATACATACATAGAATTTTAATAGTGTGCTGGTGTTCCAAATGTGTATGCATTTATGCAGTGTAGTAATATTCCGTGTATAGGAATGGCTATTCTTAGTTTTTCAGTGAAGCACTTTACATCCTTTATTAAAACACGTTACTGCATGAGATTAGAAACCAGAGGCCCCACAGAATTCATGAAATTTGAGTAAGTATTCAGAGATGTAGAGATTCTTTGGACGTGATCAATACAGAGAAACATATCACATGAAATGATACTAAACATCAATAAACATACAATTTGCTCCCCGTTTTCATACTGAATATTAAGGTTTTTTTTCTAAGTGCTTATGATATTTAACTTTGCAACCTGAAGATATTATTACCAAGGAAGTGTACTTTACTTAATGTTCTGATAGGATGGAACTGAGTAGCTCTCACACCTGATGCATACAGCTTGTAAAAGTGGGATGGTATTTATTTTATGGGATAAATAAAATTTTATTATTTACACTCTCATAAACCACTGAAGCCATTAAATCAGATATACTATACATATTTTGTGAATAGGCAATACTTCCCAAAATTTTGGGTATCTTATTTAAAATAATTGTATAAGCATAAACTTCTGATAAAATAATGTATTATATTTCTACTGTACTTTCCCCTGATAGGTTGGGTGACAGAATACCCTATGAAGGAGAAAATGAACCTGACCAAGCTTCATTAAAAGCAGACACTGACATCCTGCAAAATGTATTAGCTGAAAATGACACACCCTATTATGATGCGTCCAGGTGAGTTCACTTTCATGAAGCAGTATTTTAGAAAACACAATTTTGAGTTATAAGTGTTTTATTTTTGTGTCTCCATGAAGGCATTTCTACAGTGTAACAGTGCATGTTTCCACATGTCATGGCTTCATCCAGCCACATTTATGGCAGCGTGTGCCCCTGTACATGACTTGCATGCAGAGGCTGTAACATGGAACAAGCCAGTGTGAACTAACCACTCACTTGCATTCTGTTGCACAAAACTCCAACATCAGAAATTGCACCGATTCTAGGAAAACTTTCCCATTTAGGATTTCAGGATAGAGGAATTTCTAAGGCAAAAGTTTCATGTCTACAAAAAGAAAAGATGTCTAATAGTAAAAGCTACATTCACAGAGACACTTGTCAAGAGCAGCATTGAAGTACAGACAGTATAGATCTCCACTGAAGACAAAGAATAGAAGCTTCCTCATTTGAACAGAAAAGTTGGTTGATAGACCTAAGCCCCTCTCTTTCAAAGGATTTTGTTTCCAAATATTGGCAGAAGAAATAGCAAAAGATGTAATAGGGGTTACAATCAGGATTGTTTCCCCTTATATCTATCATTATTAAGGGTAGGAGAAATGAAGTGCCATAAATAAACGGAAACTAATTTAAATATTATATTTTTCCTACCAATATTTCTTAGAGAAGAATTTGTTTTATAGATTCTATCAGGGAACATTATTTAATGTTGAGATATACTTCTACAAAAGCTAATTTCCTTGCTTTTCAAAATTTGGGGCTGAAAAAATATAGCTTATTAGGAAATTAGGAAATCAGGAAATCTAATCCAATTATTAGAAAATCTCCTTTGGGACTTAATTTTTATAAGAAGCTTTCATAAGTTTATGAATTTCTTTCTTATTGATTGAGCCAAAATAATATTTTAGAAAATCATTTTTAAAATAATGGCTATCGTTTCTTTCTTGTTTTAGAAATACCAGACATGCTGATGGAGTTTTCACCAGTGACTATAGTAGACTCTTGGGTCAGCTTTCTGCCAAAAAATACCTTGATTCTCTTGTTGGAAAACGAGTTGGGTAAAGATAATTTATTATTACTATTTTATCAAACACATTATGATTTTTTAAATCTGCAAATTATATTTGCACTGTTAATAATTTACTAATTTTGTTGCACATTTATAACTTTGATCATATTTAATTTAATTGAAAAATAATTCATATTCTTCAATAAAATATACCAGTCCCATGGATTAAAGAAATAAGGCTTACTAGTAAAGTTGTCACTGGCTCTAGACACACTTATTTTCCTTTAGGAGAAAACATTTGTAAATCTGCAATCAAATTGAAGTAGACACAGTAAAAAATAAATAACACATAGGATAGATTGAAGCAAATGTTAAGGTTAATCATAGTAGTTGTGTTTTAACTTCCTGCTCAAACCAAGCATTGGAAGATTCTTTCTTTAAATGACCAATAGTTGAATCTTTAAATGACACTATTTAGATGACACAGCTCCTCAAGAAGCATTAATTTACTCCCAGTGGCAGAAAACAACTTTAAATATCCCTCTATGATTTGATAAAATATTTGCTCACTTAGTCTTAAACACTCCCAGTAAGTGCCAACATGTATTGGATTATTTCTCACTCTCCTATCCTTAGGCTTAGGTATATTTTTTTTCTATGTATTTTTTGTCATAGAAAATGAGTTGGGTGTTAGAATTCATTTTTATTTGACACCAAGAAAAATGGGAATGGTGGTGTATTTATCATTTCTTGCTAAAAAGCTTTGGTTCTATTTCCATCACATTTCTTAGCAGTGACATCTCAGAAGGCCAGGGGCCAATCAAACGCCACTCGGATGCAGTCTTCACTGACAACTATACCCGCCTTCGGAAACAAATGGCTGTGAAGAAATACTTGAACTCAATCCTGAATGGGAAGAGGAGGTAAAGAAACAGACAACTTGCTAAGATGTGAACTTATAAATCACTTTTAGAATAGAAGCTACAGAAGGGAGCTTTCCCCATCCCTCTATCTCAGTATCTATACTCTGAAGCAGTAATTCTCAACCTTGGCTGCCATCAGACAACCCTGGACACAGCCCTACCCAAACCCATTGCCAGGAATTAGTGCCTTTATGGATATAGCTCTAGATATACGGATTTCTTCAGAGCTCCCTGGTTGATTCTATTGTGTCTCCAGGTTTAAAACTGATGACTATAGCGGCATCTGTTTTGAATCTGGAAGCAAGTTTTAACAAAAATGCTGGTTTTTAACTATGGAAATCCCAGTCCTCTAGCAATTTGGCATCACATGGAACTCCCTGTATTAGCATTTCAACTCCCTTATTTTATCAAATTAAGCTCTGAGTTATTTTGTCTTCTGACGTTCAGTGAAGCCCGAGTCTGTCTGGGTGTGTAGCTATTGGAGCACAGTATATAGGGAGTGGGGTGCTCTCTTTTTATTCCAATTATTTTTGGTTAGAAAGTGAGTTTTAAGGACGACCCTGGCTGGATGAGGCCATACACGATGACTTTCTTTGCCCACCAGATTGTAATTGTGTAGGATTGATTTTAGACACTTTAAAAAAAAATCATTCACCGGTAAGAACTAAACTGAGAGATAATTATTTAGCCCCCAGAGCACTTTACAGGGGACAGAGAATAGCATAGGTAACACAATATTATTTATTTAGATGCTTTCTTCTCCAAGAGCCTTAACATGCACAATTTTCTATTTCTGCTGTACAGCGCTGAGGGAGAATACCCTGACTTTTTTGAAGAGCTAGAAAACTGATGGAAAAGGTCTTTGAGGAAAGCTGGTGAAAACGTCCCAAATGGTGCGTATATCTGTGCATTCTTATCATATTCTTAAAGCAATTATCCAGCTATTTCAGGAGGTAAGAGCCGCTTGGTAAGAGATATCCTAGACTTGTTCCCAGTGAGACATCCTGTAAGAATGACACTCCTACCAGAAGTGAACCATGGGCCAGTAATCAGCTTAAAATTCATGCAGGGTTCTGATTGCATAACAGAGAAAAATCACAATAAGTAAACAGTTTTGTATCTTCTAGTTTACCCAGACATATTCCTACCCTCTGACAAGATTTAAAACAGCAGAGACTGACTCACACTAATGAGAAAAACTGGTGTTCTTATCAAGCATCCAGCCAGGCTGCTGTTATTAATTTAAGGTTTCATTCCACGATTGACTGCTAGCATCTTATTTAAGGACAGGGAGATGCCCCCAAATTACAGCAAGGTTTGTTATTGTGAAAATACAATGTACTTTGGGTCTAGTTGTATTCCCTGAAACGTAGCCAGCTTCAGGCAGCAAAAGTCAAGTTCAGCTTCTTTCACCTATAAAGTAAGTGTACTATGCCTCCAGTAGTATTCACTGTAAAATAATTTTTGAGTAGAGAAAACACAAATAGGTTTTTTCTTTGCTATATAAAAAGCTTGTTAACACAGATACTTTTATGTACACGTAGATACAAGGCATACATTTTTCCTGAGTACATTAATGCTTATATTAGCTCCTAAAATGTATTTACAATATTTGGCAAGTGCTTGAAGAAATTTTACATCATCAGCATTCGAGATTAACAAAATTTTTCACTAAAGCCTATGGAGTAAATATTTTTGGTTTTGTGGTCTATATAGTTTCTTTCAAAAATATGTCTGTTACTGTAGCAGAAAATTGGCCACAGATAATATGTAAAATGAATGGGAGTATCTGGGTTACAATAAAGCTTTATTTCTAAAACATGAAGGTAGGCTAGACTACGACCCTGGAGGGGTCAAGGAGATTAAAGGAGACCCAAGATCAGAATGACTATAATTTATTGTTTTACTTCAGTCCTGGTTTTCATGAGCGTCCTCAGTAGTGGGCAGGGTGTCTGCAAAGACACCTGCACAACTGGTGACTTTGTCCACTGATTACCCTTCACTTCTAAGGGACATGCATGGTCAGGGGTGTGGCGCATGTCTGTTCATGGTCATAGATGGATAGTTCAGAGAAATGAGTTCCTTTGCTCAAAAAAGAGAGGTCATCCCATATGGCTTCTTGAAAAACTGTTGATAAGAAGCAGGCCTCTCCATTCCATTATACAGCACAGCAGGCACTAACACATAGAAGAGGACTATTCACTGTGTCTTTTTTAAATTGTAAGATTATTGATGAGATTATATCTTCCATTCTTTTTTTTTTAATGTGCAGTTTTGGACAAATTCTTTTTCACAACAAATCTTGTGGGTCAGCCATTGGTGAAAATTACAAATGATTGACTGACCACAGGGCCCCTTCCCATCCCTGTGTCATTTCTAACAATCTGTCCTTTGAAAGATGTGCTCCTGATTTCCCACAACATGATCCCTTGTCACAGACTATTGACAAGGGGCAAAGAGAAATAGATGTTTATTAAATGAGTGGATAAGGGAGTGAAATTAAGATGCTGTCAATGAAAATACTTTTATGCTTACATATCAATTCTTTCCTTTTCAGATTCTTGAAGAAAAATGATAGATGATATAATTACATTTTGAGCTCTACATAAGTAGTAATTCAAGAAAACATCTTCAATATTGAGACCAAATAAAATACTGTGTTGTGAATGTTGTGACTTATTTTAAGCTAATGTAATAACTGTGTTGTTTACATTGCAAATATTATTTAAGAGTTCTTAAATTTGTCTTTAACTCCTGGAAATCCTGTAATTTCATATGCTGTGTACCCTTTCTAACAAAAACATATTAAATGATAAGAAAATAGTAGGTTAATTCCAATTATAAGAGGCTTTATGGAAGGGTAGTAATTGAGCAAAATTGATCTATTTATTTATAGAGCCTCCTCAACTATTCACATAGTACACCAGATAATCATTGTGTCCAAATTTGAATGGTAAGCAGATAGAACGCTATGCTAAGTAAACCTCAAAATGTCTAAGAGGATACCAACCAAGTTAAAAAGTCATTCTTCAAAACAGATGTTTTAAAAATGTAATGCATTTTCATATTTTAGGCAACCTTTATTTTAAACTGGATTAAAATCTCATAAATTTAGATCTCTAATGCCAAAGGCTCTCTTCTGATCTATTTATTCAATGAAGGGGAATGGCCTCTACTTCTGACATTGGACCGCGCCTTTAATCTCGTGTAAAGTATGTGTAAAATGTAAACTTGTTTTCCAGTGCTAAGTACTTTTTCCCCAAAATCCTTCAAAGAATGTTTTGGTCATACCAGCTTCTGTCAGTGAAAGTACATTTGGAGACACAACTATTTTTCCAAAATGATTGTAAGAAATTAAACGTAGAAAATAAAGGTATCTGATTATCATTGCAAACAATTTCTGTCGTTTTGAGTTTTTAAAGGATATAGTAGTAGTAACTCATTTAAGCACTAAAAGTGCCAGCCAGATAGTTTTTGTGATGTTAGAGGTAGAATTATGTTTGACTTTGTGTGAGATATGAAAGAGAAAAGCCCAGAATGTTCCCAAGGTAGATCACCTGAGCAACTTGAAGGATGGTGTTGCTATTAACTGAGATGAAAAAGACCGGAGGAGGGAGGTTCCAGAGCAAAAGGAGTTTAGATTTAGGCATTTTAAAGATATATGTTAGGAGTCCTGAGGAGATGCTGGGCTAGAGGTAAACTGTTGGTGGACTTCAGTATATAAAAGAGATTTAAAGGCACAGGTCATGAGATCAAGGACCAAATCCTATATAATAAAAGGCCAGCGGCCATAATGGTGTAACAAACATAACGACTGATCAACCAGTCGTTATGAGGTTCATTGACCACCTCTCGGTCCCTCCCATCAGCCCTCAGGCTCCAATCGCCAGATGGCAAATGGGGAACCATGGGGAACTGGGGTGGGTGTCGGTGGTGGGGTGGGACTCAGGATTGGAGAGTGGGTAGAATAGCCAACATCTTGGTCCCTCCCCCCAGCCCACAGGCTCTGGTAGATCACCAGATGGTGAATGGGGAACTGGGGTTGGTGTCGGCAGCGGGATGGGACTGGGGACTGGCGAATGGGCAGAAGATGGCCCTGATCGCAGGCTAGGCCTAGGGACCCTACCCGTGCACGATTTCGTGTGCTGGGCCTCTAGTGTAACTATAAAAGAATCTCAACACCGGATCCCTGGTGTGTTCATTTACCAGGACTGTTATGACAACATACCAGACTCAGGGATTGAAGGACAAAAAATGTATTGTCTCAGTTCTGGAGGTAGAAGTCTGAGTTCAGGGGGTTTGCAGAGTTGGTTCTTTCTGAGGACTATGAGGGAGAATCTGATCTTTCTGATTTCTGATAGTTTCCTAGTCATGTTTGGCTCATAGAGGAATTACCTTGATTTCTTTGTTGACATTCACATGGTGTTGTGTGTGTGTGTGTGTGTGTGTGTGTGTGTGTATGTGTGCCCCCAATTTTTCCTTTTTAGAAAGATACTAGCTGTATTAGATTAAAGCCCATGCTAATGACTTCATTTTAACGTTTTTACCTCTGTAAGACCCTATCTCTAAATAAGGTCACATTTTGAGGTACTGAGGGTTAGGATTGGGGGGACATAATCCAACCCATAACACTGAGACACTCCAACATTAAGTATCTGGCATGTTGAGGAACAAATGGAGTAAAAGGGAGTGAAAGAAGAAGCTAGTAACATAGCAGAAAAATAGGAAAGTGTGTAGTTCTTTCAAGGAAGAAAGCATCTTTAAGAGGTTTATAGTGGCTACTATGTAAAATAATGCTCACTTATTGGTTTCTTCAACTAGTATTTATTAGGAACGGGCTATGTGCCCAGCACTGTTCTTGGCTCTCATGATATAACAGTGAACCAAGCATACAGGAATTCCTGCCCCCAGAGAGCTTATATTCTACTGAGGGAAACAGATGATAAACAAAATAGTTAAGGAAAATACATGTTGTGTTAGAAAGGGATAAGTGCTAAGAAGGAAATTAATGCAGGGAAAGAGGATAGTGAGTGTTGAAATGAAAGGTTGAAACTTTAGATGAGGTTCCTAGAGAAGACCTCACGAGATGAATTTGAGGAAAGCCCAGAAAGAAATCAGCTGGGAGTCTCTATGTAAACATCGTTCTAGACAGCAGAATTTCCAGATGCAAAAGCCCTTGGTTTGGGGCTTACCTCATATTTTCAAGGAGCAGAGAAGAGGCTAATTTAGCTGAAGTGCAAGGAATGATGAAGATACAATCTAAGAGAGAAAGCCAGAGAGGTTATGAAGAGTTAGGCCACATAGATCACATAGGTCCCATTCTGCCTCGCTCTCTTGAGTACTCACATCCTCCCTATCTCCTGGCTTTCAAAACTCTAGCTCTGAGACCCAGCCACTGCTGGGTATTCTACAGACCCTTCCCCTGAGCTGAATTTTGCTTTTCTTTACCTTGTCTGTGAGCATGGCCTTTGCCCCTGTAGACCCTGAGAAAGAGGATACAGGACAAGAAGGGCTCCTGGTGGCTTAACTGGGCTCAAATTATAAACAACAAAAAGCCCACCCGGTGTGGCTCAGTGGTTTAGCTTGGACCTATGAACCGAAAGGTCATGGTTGGATTCCCAGTCAGGGCACATGCCTTGGTTGTGGGCTGGATTCCCAGTGTGGGGCATGCAGGAGCTAGCTGATTGATGATTCTCTCTCACCATTGATGTTTCTCTCTCTCTCTCCTGAAATTGGTAAGAATATATATTTTTAAAACTGCACAAAACAAAACAGGCACACACAAAAACAGACTCCAGCAGCCATTTCTACACAGGGGCCTGACACACAAAATGCACTTCAGGGAGAAGCCTGCACTGAACTACCTGCCTCAGCACTGAACTGCACTGTGTCCCGCCCATCTGAGCCAGACCTCACACAGAGTTCCTGGAGTTCTATTCCCCTGTCAGTGGGAGCACAGCTGTAGCCCCCTCAGCATCTTCACTGACCAATCAGAGTGGTTCCATTCTAACCAATCAGGACAGTGCCTTTTGGACGATTCAAACTGCATATTTGGAGTTTTCATTTGCATGAGGAATCAGAGGAGGGGACTTCTGGCCTTATAAGCCCCCTCCCCTCTGACTGAGGGAGCATATTTGCCCTTTCCACCAAAGACTGAAGATTGCATTTCCCAGGCTAAAGCTGAAACATTGAAAATGAAACATGGAAGATGTCTTGCAGGAACAGTTCAGAGCAGAGCAGAGCTGTCTAGAGAGGGGCCTGGCCCAGGGCCTTGCTGCTTTCGCAGCCCTGCTATGTCCCATTTGAGCTGTTTGCATGGAATTAATTTCTTTCTTCACTGCACCCCAAACTGTGGATTCATTTTGGCACTGAATTGGCACCAAAGATCACCTGTTGGAGCCCTCTTTTTCCTTCTGTATCCCAGCTCTCTCTCTGGAACTTGATCTCTGTCTGGAATTGGACAGAATTTGCCAAGGGTCAGAAAGACTGCATTGGTGATGGTCTCATTCTATGCTATTTCCCTCCCACATGATAACCTCACCTCCCAATCTTCCCTCTCTCCAATGTGTCCTCTCTTTGCTCCCTGACGGTTTGTTTTTCCAACTGCAACCTAACGCTTCCCTGTGAGTTAGGTAAAGCAGAATTTTTTTTTTGGGGGGGGCGGTTGGATTTGCCATAAAAATGCATACCATTTAACGGGTCATTGTGCTTAAAAGAATACAAATGGTCTTTTTTAGCAATAATTTCTAAAATGGCAATCTAAAGATGTTGCCTCTTGATTCACAAATGACTTGAATTAGAAAGGTCTTGGTTTAATGTATTAAACAGCATTCATCTCAGAGCTTTGGTTATTGAGTAGAATACTTTCTGTGGCTTTGACATTCTAACTCAGGAAAAAAAACTTTCATTTTTAATTGGGCTTACATTTATAAATTAATATCTAATGCACAATTACCAACACAATATCCTTTCAATTTCATTTTAAGGTATCTGCAGTACAATAGCTATCAGCAAAAGAACATATTTTTTGTTTACCATGTAAAAAAACTATATATTACTATCAACAGTACCGTTTGCTACCTTAATATTAATCTAACACACACACCACACAGTTTCTGGTTTTCAGATACAGAATCCATTCTACAGGCTTTCTTGAAGAGAGAAACTAAGAATTCTCCAATAATGTCTATGAATAACTGAGAACCCTTGGCAATGAACACTTTATTAGATCTAGATTTTAGGAAAATGCTCTCCAATGCTTTATTTGCCTGTTTGCTCGGTGCTCCACACTGTGGTTAACTGATAGCGGCTGCCATTGTCTGATGGAGAGAGGAGAACAGGCACCTTTAAAGCATCTGCCTTGTCACTACCCTCTGTCCACAGCTTTCTCTCCCGACTATCGGGAGAAAACATTCACTCGGTCCTTCTCTTTTGCTTCCTGTAATTGCAGGTCTCCTGCAAGATGTGTCTCCTTTCATACTTTAACTTTTCTCATTTTCCCCCACACAATTGTGCTCTTTCTATTTCTCTTCCTTGGGAACTCGCCTTGGCTTCATAATGTTGCTTCTTTCTCTTTGGCTCTTCTGTTTTCTAGAGCTGTGGCTTCATGCACTGGGGCCACTTGCTCTGCTTCTTTTCCTACCCACATATTACCTTCATTTGTTCCAGTGACGGAAAATGTATGTAAATCTCCCCCCCAAGATTTCCTTTTGTCTCTTAAATGTTCTTTCCATGAGGCCTTGCTAAGTAATATTTTCTAATTTACATTTTATATATCTTTTTGGTTAAAATACCTAGGCTACAAAGATACTTTCTCCTTACCTTGATACAGATAAAGAAACGTTAGTCATATCCTTGTTATCTCATCCTTAATGAGATAAAAGTTTAGAGCAGCAGGCATATGTCGAAAAAAGAGAATGTAGTATAAAAGAGAAAGTCTGAAATAGTGTGCAGGTAGTAATGGAATACAACTGAGAAAATTTCCATTTAAAGTTCTCAGCTCTTGTTAAATAGTTTACTAGAGGGGTATTAGGCTGAAAATATACCTGCAAAGTAAAAGCAAAATGATAAATAGTCCTAGATGGTTTGGCTCAGAGGATAGAGTGTCGGACTGTGGACTGAAAGGTCCCAAGTTTGATTCCGGTCAAGGGCACACGACTGGGTTGTGAGCTTGATCCCCAGTAGGGGGCATGCAGGAAGCAGCCAATCAATGATGCTCTCTCATCATTGATATTTCTATCTCTCTCTCTCCCACCCTCTCCTTTCATCTCTAAAATCAATAAAAAATATATTTAATAAAAAAATGTAAATAATATAGGTGATAGTCAAGTTGGGTCCCATGTATGGGCCATAGTAATGTTATTGTAAAACATTAAGAAGAAACTATATA